TATTATAACAATTTTCCTTTTATACTTAAAATATAATTAATAATTAATAATAAAATTTTGACTTTAATATGTGTTGTGTGTGTAAATGTGAATGTAATGTGATTTGTAATTCTATGAAATTAGGTCCTCAGTTTGCTGGAAGTCCAGATCTAAAAGCCATTTTTCAATTTTTAGTTTGAACTGACGTGTTGTCATATTTTTAGCACTAGGAACTTTGCGGCAGATACGATTGTAAACATGTGGATGTTGGAAAAGAGGTAATCTTTTGGCGAAACCATATACATTGTAACCATATACACAATACATTGGGCAAACGGTATGTTAGGGAAATAAGAATCGGGAAGCGAATAACTCCTCAATATTTGAAAATAGTGAAACATTAAATGGTGTAACGGTAAAGTGTCTTCAGACAAATGAAACAAAATTCTGTAAATCATGTTTCTTGCTTGTGATAGGTAACCCAATTTCATATTGAGACGTACAAAAAGTATATAATTATAAATAAATTATGAAGCAATGGTAAAAAAATATAAAAAAAATAAATGAAAAAGACTTCCCGTCCCAGCAAAATTATTTTATATTTGTTTTTTATGGCTAATTAAAATATCATAAATGTATATATTTTTAACTTCTTTTGTTATCATGAGTACGATTACAAGTAAAATATAATTTTTGTCACGCCTTTACAAATGTTATCGATTATTTAGTGTATTTAACTATAATAGCAAAGCAATGGTGAAATAACTAAATGTTAAATGAATAAGTTTTTATAAAAAAAACAACCGATCTCAAAAGTTCGCGGAAAAACATCTATTTGCCAAGTTTTATTGCCATCTGTTACTGGAATGAGCCCTAAACCGGATTCATCCCCAAGTTCGTCACCCTTAGACGTGGAATATTTCCTTCAAATTTAAATAGGACCAATATTGTGGTACCCTCTTTCCAAAAAACATACAACAAAAAAAAAAAAAAACAGGCGTAACATACATACATAAATACATTTTAGTACATACCTATTTCTGCCGCCAAGCAGTAATGTCACCATTAATGTGTTCCGGTTTTGAAGGGTAAGGGGTACTGGTGAAATTATAGGCTCATGGGACTTGTCAACTTATGTCTCAGGGTGACGGGCGCAGTGGCCCCTCAGATCATTGCAATTTAAAGCTCTGAATGGCACTGTTAAGGACTTTGTCGTTTATTAAAAAAAAATACACAGAACCTACTCCTTTCATTGACGTCTGATTTCAAACTAGAGAATAAATTCACTGTACTATGAATACAAGAGCAACGGAATTCACTTTGGTGCATCACCCAGAACAACCAGACCAGCAGCTTGATTTTGATTGCCTACTCCCGATCGGAAACTGCGTTTCTTCCGAGTCGAGTCGCATAAAAGCGATTCACAACTGGCCGATCGGAAACTTTGACATTTCTAATGGGAACAACAGTTGATATAACTCACACATTAGAAACATATGGTAGGAATCAGGTTCATCTTCTCACTCGGAAACTCGACTAATTTCGAGACTCGGATGGTTCAATTACAATTTCAATCAAAATCAACATGCTGAACCAAAAAAAGTTAGTAGCAGTAGAGCTCCTTGTTAAAGAGGTCGTTCAGGAAGTAATGCTACCTAACCTGTTTCTGCCGCAAAGCGGTAATGTGAGCATTACTGCGCTCCGGTTTTGAAGGGTAAGGGTGCTGATGAAATTACAGGCACATGGGAATTGCAACTTAAATATGTCTTAGGCTGGCGGGCGCGGTGGCAGTGCCCTCAGGTCTTAGCAATTCAAGCTCTGAGTGATACTACAGCTGCTATGGACCGGGGCGTATCGTTTACTAGGCGCACGACTTGTTCGTCCCATCTCTTGGTACAAAAAATTAAATGTGACGTCACAGAGCTCATCATTTTAGCTATTGTGGTAACATTTTAAAATGCTGGTTATGCGGTACTACGCGGGCTGGTCATCGTCGACTCATTGCGAACCACACACGTTCTGCTCGCGGCAAACTCGCGGACCATGTTCACACTATGATTTTTGGTAACATAATATGCAATGGTTACAGCACATAGCAGCACACAGCATACAGTCCTGACACGGTATGCAGGAAGACGTCGGTTCGAATCCGACCGGATCGAAGCAATTTTTTCTGAGTGTTTTTTCTGAGTGTTCGATCTTTGTATTAATAATTATAACAAACTAGTGGAGTAATTTCACAAAAAAATATTGAATATCAATTCAATAAAAATTTAATTAATACAGTGAATAGCGACATCTCTCGCCAGGGCTGGTAGCTGTAAAGGTACTAACTGGGTGATAAATCTGCAATAGATTTCTCATAGATGGCGCTACGACTAAAAAGTCGTTGAAAGACCAAGTACAAAGACACGACGCAAACACATAGAAAAATTCGTGAGGTCCGTTGGTTCGTTCCGTGGCTTAGTTGGTATAGCGTCTGGCACGGTATGCAGGAAGACGTCGGTTCGAATCCGACCGGATCGAAGGAATTTTTTCTGAGTGTTCGATCTTTGTATCAAGAACATTCGTCAACCTAAACACTTATCGGCAGTCGGAAGTATATTGTTTCACGATGAAATGATCTACAAGAACCTTTAAGTTAACGTCGTTTAAGAAGTACCCGTACAATATCAAAGCCGTAGATCAATGCTCCTCGAAGGTCAATACATAATAAAATAAGGGTTTGTAGACCTCGGCACGCGCCCTTAGGTTCACGACCTGAGATCACATTGGGGAGTGTCCCTGTTATGTTGGAAGTACTTTTTCACATCCCCGAAAATTGGAACGGTAAAAACCCTTTATTACTGTTTAGCATAATGTGTACGCGAATGTTTCAGAAGGATTTTGTAAATCTTTGGTTGGTTTAACACTATGAATGCTTTCGACTTTAGGAAAACAGCAAAATTTTGTATATTTCTGCAAACGAAGCCTTGAATTTGTATTCTCTTATTAGATTCTATTCGTAATATCGTACTGCTATTTATTACAATAGTGTTGTAACTCAAAAAACGTGAAAATCAAGATTATATATTATTGCTTAACGTAAAATTTGTATCTCTACACATCAGTGCAACTGTCGTTAGAATATTTTGAGAAACTGTTAAAACATAACGTTAACCCAAAATGAGACAAACTTTTTGTGAGCTAGTTCTGGACAAAAAAGTCCTTACTAAAAACATGAAATTATTATTTCCCTTTTATTTTCTAAATATACTCTCCCGAACTCATATTACGAGCCACCTCGCATTTTTGTCTTAAAGGGCTAGAATACAAAAGTACTAATTACATATATCGTTGAAGAACCAGTTTTCCCCCGGTTTTGCAAATCCAAATTTGCAACAAGGATTTGTGGAATAGACGTTTAGAGCACTAGTTTACAAAATGGCTTAATAGTTTTTGTTACTTAATGCACTGAAAATGCGAAGTGGCTCGAATTGTGTCCGGGAGTGTACCTATATTTGTCTATAGTTATTTTTATTAAAAGTAATTGCGAATTAGGCTTCCATCTCACCTTATGTTAAGATGTCTGTTATAAAACTTCAACCTATACATAAATTTTAATGATCTTTCACAGGAAGTGTATTCGCTTTTCATCGATTCTATTGTAAAAAAAAATATATATCGTAAAATATATATTTTTGAGTTTAATACACTATTGTATTAACAGTGCGATGTCCTAATACAGTGCTTTCCATTACAAATAATCACAATTCAAATCACGTTAAAATCTGACAAATAACCTATGAGTTACCATGGTTACCCGGTAACAGTGCCTAAAAACTAGCGAGAACACTATTTCCCAAAAGTTCCGGATCCGAGGTTCTGTCTTCACGAGTTAGATAATCAAAGATTTTACGGAAAATCTGTGTAAACACACAGTGGCGAGGCGTGGAAATTGTAGTTGTAAAGTCGGAGCAAAACAAATAGTACTTCCATTATGAAAAAAATGGCGCCTTGCCGACACCTAAACAGAACTTATTAGCACACAAGGTACTAGTATACTTAATTTCGCTGGTTAACTTATTCTACACATAAAATTTAGCACAAAGTGTAGTATTTGATAATACTGGGAAAATTTTAGGCAAGCCGGTGAAAATCGAGTTATATGGACGCCTCGCCACTGGTGTGTTACTCTTCCAGGCAACATCAAAGTGCAGAAGACACAGGTTGGAATTGCCTTCGTCAGACTGATGTGACATACTCAAGTCCTGACTTGAGCATTGAGTAGAGTTCTGGAATACGACCCTTAACCCTTCAGCCAACGGAATTTCAACTGTCAATTAATGACGGTTCATATTTCACACCCCGCGCAAGTTTGTACAGAAATCCCATGAAAATGCCAAAAATTATGTTGCCGGTATTTGAGCTTGATAGCAATAAAACTACTACGAATTTAACAAAACCAATTATGTAAATAGCTTTATCATTCCTTAAATAACACAAAATATAGTAGTTATTACATAAAATAATGCATTTACCTTGATAAAATAAAGATTTCACAACGCACTGTTACCACAATGTTACTTCTCGCGAAGTTTTACCACAGATTCGAACAGCTTTTTCTCCGTATTTTTTAAATGAACGAATGTTTTTTGGCTATGCAATGAACGAAACAGTTACTATACTTGTCTATTATCAAAAGTTGTTCAAACAAACGTAGACTCTATCTTTATTGAGAACCGGTTTATAATCGTCTGGGCGAGCGAACCCACCGGTGGCTTCGCGCGTCTGAGGACTTTTTCTTTCAAAATGGCGTGAACCCACCGGTGGTTTCCTGCCGGCTTAGAGGTTAATATGGTAAATATGCAACGTAATTGCAGTTTTAAGTATCTAATACAAGGTATCGTAAACGTTTACAACAGGCAGTTGTCATCACCAATGGACTGTATGATGGTCTGACCGTTTGAATACCATAAAAAACACCTGTGACCATTTTTTTTATGTCATTAGGTCAATGAATAACATCATAAACTACTTACCAAGTATGAGATGTAGCTTAGCATCAGTCTGGAAGGCATAGTGTAGTGTGACCAGAAAAGGACATGCCCGTACTGCTTCCAGGACCTGTTAAAACACATTAACTTATAATAATGAGAATATTCATTGTCACCTATACCAATTTTTTTTCATAACCATATATCATAATTGCGTAGTAAATAATAATAACGTTTGCATAGGCTTTATAGGATTCTGCAACCGTGCGTCACACAAACTGTTTTGTATATTTTCCCATCAAAGTCAATGACATAAATTAGTTTATTACACATGTTCAGGAAACTAATATCTAAGGTTGTAGTTTGTCAATTTCCCGCAAAATTGTACATATAGTTTCAAAATGAAACGGGCTCTTAAAACTCGTGATTATTGAACACAAGGGTCCAAATTTATGGTAACTTAAATTTTTTTAATTTTTAACCGACTTCAAAAAAGGGAAGAGATTCTCAATTCGACTGTTTTTTTTTGTATGCATGTTACGCGATTACTCCGGTGTGAACCGATCTTGATGATTCTTTTTTGTTAGAAAGAGGGTACCTCCATAGTGGTCCCATTTATATTTGAAGAAAATATTCCACCTCTAAGGATGGCAAATTAGGGGGCGAACGCTTACGATGTCGGTTTTTTAGTACTTTGTACTGTGATTATTTATTTAAGAAGCCATAAAAAAGAGAGGACGATAAATTGTTTTGAATACGTAATTTTTAAACCTGTACGACGGGAGACGATGGGAGCTGCACGCAATTTTAAGGTCTATTGCTCAAACGTTTTTTTTTTTCAATTCAATTGAAATATGAATTTACCAAGATATACGGTACATTGCTTATAAGCAATATGAATGTTATTTTTATTTTTCTTCTGGATTATTATTATATACTAACACTTAGTTCCTTAAGATTTAAATTTTGTTTTACTAACACTTTTGTATGGACCACCTTCAGAAGCCTGAAATAAAGTTATTTTATTTATTTTTATAAGGTAAGTCAAAAGCCTTTACGAAATACGGTATAAGATCAAGCTACAATTAACTTTAAACAAATTTCTGGGATGTCTTGCAATACTTGCCTAATTCTATAACTAATATAATTAACGGAAAAATAATATGTATACTTCCACCTCCATAAGGAGAAAAATAAAATTAGCCCATATTGCTTGCATTTATTTTTCTCATTGTGGAGGTGGACGTTACTGACCTGTCTTTCCGTCCGCGTGTGTTCTGCAGTCTTCAATTTCTGAACTATGGAAGCTTTTTTGAGAACCTTCATGGCGTAAAGCTTGCCCTCGTCCACCCCGCATCTTTTCCTAACTAGAAACACCTTGCCGTAAGCTGGAACAAAATAAAAAAGAAATTTTAATTACAACGTTAATTTTTGTTTACAATAATAATACCATTTAACGTCCTAACACTGGAAAGCAATACTCGATACAACACGTATCTGAGTCTGAATGGCACCGTTTGGGACGGGAGTATCGATTACCACCGCCTGGTGGTAATCGTCCCGTCACTTATAGTCGTCACCAAATAAGAGGCCAAATTTGACACTTGTCATCGTGACGCGAGTAGTGATGTTGACTAATCATATCGGTAATCACATTATACGATTTTCACGGGAAATCGATTCAAAATTTTAAGAGTTTGTGATTGTTTAGATTATTTTTCGTTTCATTATTGTTCAGGGGACCTAAAAGGCTAAATCATACAATTTAGTTAAAAGCAATTCATTTACAGAATTCCTTGCAATTCTGTAGCAATTCCCCTAATTTTCGTAAAATTGTCTCACATTCCGATGAATTGTATCCAAGTCTTTTAATTTTTATTTTATAATATTCCTAAACGGTTTATTACGAGAATTTAGTGTAAATAAGTATATTCATCAATAAAAAGTTACTTAAGTCAATATTTTTTCCGAGAAATCGAAGTGAATTGGCGATTAATTGCTTACGACACTATTATTTAACAAAAAATACATCGAGGACGTAACTGTTTTCAGGAAGTCTCGGAGTAACGCAAAATTACATTTTATTTTGGAATTCGTGCGAAAACAGTACTTCAAATATGTTTTGTCATGTTATATAATGTTTCAATAAAATTTATATTTAGTATTTGAACTCAATTATGCTAATAATTGGTTGTTTATTGTTTCGTTGATCGCATTCAAAGTTACACACTATCGCCTTCTTTAGCTGTCAAATTTGGCCTCTTATTTGGTGACGACTATAGTATTATCATCATCATCAACTCAGCCCGTTAACACCCAATTCTGGGTGTAGGCCTCCTCTTTTGCACGCCAGCACACTCGGTGATGTGCGAGTCTCATTCACAATTTTTCGGCCACCAATGGTATTAGCACACATATACTCTAAACTTAATGGCTAGGCTGGGCACTGATAATAACTAACTAACTAGTTAACTAACTATGAAAGTGTTTCTTCACTCAACCAGCGTCATAATTTTGATTCAATCGTAATCGATCTGAGATGGGTTTCTGAGCGAGAAAATGAACCTGATTCCTACCATATCTTTCTAATTTGTGAGTTAAATCAACTATTATGCGCCTCGACTCGGAAAAGACGCAGTTTCCGAGCGGGAGAGGCAATCAAAATCAAGCTGCAGGTACCTTTACAGCTACCACAACAATATCATGGTAATATTCATTACAATAATACATAAAATGTATTTAGAAACCCATTACACATTTCGAAAACGTATAACCATGCGACGGTGTGACCTCCTTACACCGTCATCTCACCGTTTTGTATCGTATCATTTTTTCTCTTTTGCTTGTATTTAAATTTTAAATTTGAATTGTTCCATCTTTCTTCGCTGTCTCATTTTTGCTTCGTACCACGGTCACTCTTTGCTTGACCGCGATAGCGGACAGAACTACTAAATCAAATTGTCTAACTTTTGTTCTTTTCAAGTTTAATCATAATACAATCAATGTAATTTTTGTATCGACCATAATGAGCGAAAAGTTTATTTTATTAATTAACTGTTTTCTACCTTTTATTTGTTACAGTTTTTTTTACTTTACCATTCGTTTTACTTTACTTCTCTTACTCAATTTTGTGGACCGGAAGTTTCCTGTTTTACTGCCGTGATCCTGATCACGGTTGTTAGGGTTACAACCCTTTCAACCATTTGGAGACCAGCAATTACCACCACGCTAACAAAAAAATTGCAACTTTTGGATAACTTTTTAATTTCCAAACATATATCGCACATGAAATCAAATACTATCGTAACTCAAAATGGCAGAACTGTGAAAACACAATTTGAAAATTAAAAAAATACTGAATGCATCTTATTTATACATAATACTTAATTATCCATTTATAAACGAGACTATATATATATTGGTTTTTTTTTTTTCAATTCCCCAATTTTGAGCTACGACAGTATTCGGTTTCGTATGCGATATTAATATGTTTTTTTACTACAAGTTATTCGTCTTGTTTTATTTTTATTCAATAGTTGTATTCTTTTTAGTCATTGAATGTCACAACGTATGAACACCATGATATTAAATTATTTTTTGTGATATTACTTCACTAGTTTGTTATAATTTTTAATACAAAGATCGAACGCTTAGAAAAAACTCCTTAGATCTGGATTCGTATCAAATGTCTTCCAGCAAACCGTGCCAGACGCTAAGCCGCGGAACGAACTAGTGGACCTCACGTATTTTTCTATGTGCTTGTTGCAGATCTATGTTTTGGTTACTTTTTTGCCTCTTTTTGTTTGTATTATTTTCTTAATTTTGAATTTAATTTATATTACCTAAATATTTTTGACGTAAAAAACGCAAAAAAGGCTAAATTCGAGTTAAAGTAGTATTAATTGCTGGTGCCGATTTGACATTCAAAACTATTATAATTTAATTGTAAATCCTTCTTGAGAAAATGTTTTGAAGCGCAACTTTACGCTGGAGAAAATAACCAGACGTCTGGAACTTGGAAGTTAATATTATTACTCAAGCATTCATAAGATGTTTTAAGATGTAAAACTTAACTAAGTAACTACAAGTACACAAGTGATTGCGTGGGAAAATCAGCTTCCACAAACAAAGTGGATTAAACGAGAAACTGTACAGTGGAGGTGTTCACACGACAAGTAGGTTCACAGAACAGTATTCATAGAGATTTATATGGGTTATTACACTAAGCATTTAATTGTCGAGTAAGTGGGTTATAGTACATTGTGTATTAAGGGCGGTAAATAAGACATTACTAACGAGAGCCTCAGCCTTTGGCTTCGGGCTTCAGTGATTTGAGGTTTGTAATTTTCCACATTACCAATTCATTCAATTCATCACATTTGTGAGGAAATAGATGCAAATATAATTTATTTCTTGTATAAATAAATATCGCTTCACTTGTAAAAAATCCATAAGGCGATAATGTAATAAAAAAGCCCGTGTGCATAATTTAGGACATTACGGTCGACTTTACCTGCATGCCATGACACTGATTACGAGCAAATGTGATGATAAATATTTTTCTCATTACTTTCAGCCTTATTAATACACAATAACTTCTTCTGAACGACGCTTTGGTTAAGGAGAAATGTCTTTAAATCACAGGTCGCACAGAAAGTTCTAGATTCAGTCAACCGTGACTATGACTATGGGCCTGAAACGTTGGTTGGTTTCAAAAAATAAATATACGCGTTTTGAGCGGAAAAAGTTTCATGTGAATATGTAACAATTGTTAAAACTAAGAACTCGAGAAAATAATGTTTAAAGACATAAAATTAAAAAAAATATCACTTTTTTATAGCGGTAACTTCATAACCTTATCCACCTAGGACAAAATAAGACAGATCGGTCTTTCTTAGTGACCAAAGCAGTATACATACAATTTTTGACGCTTCGCAGTGACAACCCTAATGCACAATCAAATAATGCAGACCAAGTGCGGGTAATTAGAAAAACTAGCACGGCTAGAAGATGCTGACACTCCCGTCAGTCCCTTCGAGATCATGGACGTTGCAATACGTCCGAAACGTCGAGCTAATTAAAATATGTTTTATACATGATTAAGTCCCGAACTAAAAATCAAATGTATATTTCAAATATTGTTAATTTATAAGAATAACTGCTGCGACATATGTATAAGCTTAGAGTAATAACGCATAGAATGATAGTTTCATATCAAACGAACTGTCACAAGTGAGACAAAAATCAAATTCATGTAGGATAGTTTTAGTAGTACGTTAATTTTCGGTTTTAGTGAATATTTATATAAAAATACAAGTTGAAAAGCGTTACTTCCTTGTGGAATGTGATGTTAGTATCTATTTTATGTTTGTCTGACGTATTTTTACACTCATTTACCGCACATTTCGTCATTTTTAGCTAAAATTCTAGAGCCGTTCGCGGTGCAAGTTGACCTTGAGCACTGAAGGGCCGCCCGCTCGTGTAGGCCCTTTGGGAGCGCTTGAATTTGCCTCCCTTAGCGTGTGCGGGCTAGGTTTCTATGCGTTATTATTCTAAGTGTATAATGTCTTTCAACCATATACTAAATTATTAACAAAATGTCTGAAACATTGGAAACAATTCCAAAGTAAAAAAATACTTAAAATTTACAAAGACTAATTTATATTAATTTGAAATGCTAGAGACCAAACGTGAAATTATTTTAATATTTGCACACCTGCTTGCAAATTGAATACAACGGACTTAATTTTAATTTCAAGAACTTTTTGTTATTTTTGTCAAGTTGCTTTACTCTCTAAAATTAGAATATATTACGCTAGTTGGTGCCCGCGATGTCGTCTGCATAGAAAAAGTACTTCGAGTAGCCTACTCTACTATACTATTTTTAACCGGCTTCAAAAAAAGAAGGAAATTTTAATTCACTGTTTTTTTTTTTGTATGTATGTTACGCAATAATTCGGCATTTATGAACCGATTTTGATGATTCTTTTTTTTTTATTGGAAAGAGGGTATCTCAGTGTTAGTCCCATTTCAATTTGAAGAAAATATTCCAACCTCTAACGGTGGCAAACTACAGGACGAATCCGGTTTCGCGCATTTTCCGGGAACCGATTTCAATAAAACTTGGCAAATAGTTGTAATTCCAAGAATGTTCGAAGTCTGTGTTTTTTATAAATAACTTACTTCATAGTTTTATTGGTTTTCCATACAAAGTTTCATACTCGGAGACTTATTTTTGTGACAAAATCTTTATCCCTATGTCTTTCACCTAGGTCCCTTTCATCTATCTGTTACTTTGGCATTTATATATTTTTTTATAAAATCAAGTGGCGGGACGGACAAGGCCTGCGCCTGATGGTATGCTACACGCCTGTCCATAACAGTTGCA